AAATTTTGAATTAATTGCTTATAGAAACTTTAAATGTCGAGGCTTGTGTTGGACACAAACCCCTTAAAGTAGATTTCGCCTTCACTTTAGTGCTTCGAGTTTTAACGGCATCTACTTCCCAGGATGCAACGACTACTACTTGATTTGTAGCACTACAAAATCAAGTCTTGCGAACCAAACTATACTGTAACTCTTTCTTTTTCTTTTCCTAGAGACTAAATGTAAACAGATGCATGAGTAACAAGAGGACGAACATAAGAAGAAATAGAAGAGTTTTGGAACATTTTCGATGGAAATGAATACTGGATGGCCGACTATTTATAGGAGAAATGGTGGTTTATACCGAACATGTGCCAAACAGATGGAAATGTTCGGACAGATTCAATACTGTTTGGACAGATTCAGTTTGAATTCAACAGGTATGAACCTAGTTTGAACTCTTTGAACCTGTTCGGGTGGGTATGAATCCATTAGGGATCTATTTGGGTGAAGGAAAAAAAATTAGACCAATTTATTTTGAATTTTGAATCCAAAATTAAAAATAAATAAAAAGATTCAAATGTTTTTAGCCAAAAAAAATAAGTATTGGGATGGATAAGCCCAACCTAACCTCACACCACGCACCCAGGCCCAAGCCCAAACCCAAGCCCAGGCCCAACCTAGCCTGTTCGCCCGACCGGGCGGACGGCAGCACGCTTGTGTGGTTTTTGTTTTAGGTCCACTAGGTCTAGCCCACTTTACCCATAGCCTCACATTTCTACAAACTTAGGCACCCCTTGGGGCCCATCCCAAGTATCCCAAGCTAGAGTATATAAACCCATACAAATCCATAAGCCTTTCCATTGTGGGACAAACACATTTCACAAATGTATAAAAAACCCACCTAAAGTCATTTCCATGAACCTGAAAACACCCGTTGAATTCTCATTCATCCGAAAATGGTTTTGAGCAACCAAATACACAATTTTATTCACTACGTGACATTAAACATGAATCCAATTAATAACGTCAAAAATAATGCTTGGATCCCATCTTAATTAATGTTCAAAGTTTAGCAAAAAAGAAGGTTTTTTTTTTTTGTTTTTTTTTTTTCCAAAACATCTTTTTTTTTTTTTTTTTTTCCAAAACATCAAAGCTATTTTCCAACAATAAATGAACTTGCCAAAGAGGTCCAATAAGGGGTGGAGCTAGTGGCAGTGGCACAAGTGGTGGTAGGGGCAATGAAACAATTACCCCTAGGGGGTATGTCACAATTGTTGATAGGGACAGAGGTTCTGTCAAATGCAATTCAGTTGGAAGGGGCAGTTTAATTGGAAAAGGCACTTCATTTGGCAGGGGCACTTCAACTGGGAGGGAAAAATCGACTGGGAGAGGCACTTCATCTGTGAGAAGACAATCAAGTAGAGGGAACACTTCAATAAGTGGGAGATGAAGTTCAACTAGAAGAGGTAGGAGCAAGGCCAATGCCAAGCATGTACATGTAAGTTTTTCTTATTTGTTTGGTCTTCCCATTACATTACTTTAGCATGCACATATATGGTTATTTATTTATTTATTTATTTACATTGCATGAATCCAACAGTAGTTCTTTTTGTTTGTTTCATTGTTTCTTGCAGATGAATTAGCTAAGATGATGATGTTTTTGGTACAAGTGCTTATCATAACTTTAAGATATATAATACATATTGCTTTAGTACACAGTTAGTGAAGATCATGTTCCACTTTTTTGTATTTTTGTAGTGGACATGAAATAGTAAGCATAGCAACAGAGCATATGTTCCACTTTTTGTATTTTTGTAGTGGACATCAAAAAGCAAGCATAGCAACATAGCAGTATGATGATGTACTAACTTTTGTTTTTTTGTACTAGGTATGAAGTATATTTACTTGGTGTTTACATTTATATTTTGGGAATGTAATGTAATAGTGTAATAGTCAAATAACTACATGATACTTATATGTTGATGATCATATAAGGTCTATTACAAAACATTCTTACGAAACATTACAAAAGCTTTAAAGTCTTAGCAATTCCTATTACATTTTCACAGCAACCATCAAGGAAATCAAACATAATACAACATTTATAATCATTACTATCTTCATAAACCCCATGTTTGCTTGAAGTACTTGCATCCTTGTTTGCATAGCTCCTATTTGGTCAATTAAATTCATAGTAGTAGTATCTTCTTCATAGGGTAGAGTGTGTCTATTAGCAGTAGTTTCAATGTCTTCCATTATCATTTGTCCTCTAACAGATGAGTTTACTGGTTTGCACCAGTCCTAAAAAGAGCATTTCCTATGTGGGCAAAAATAATACAATCTGCATATATTTTTCTCTGATTTAGTGACTTTAATTGCAGCTTTGCTCTCACAATAGCAGATCTTACTCATATACTTGATCACCCCCTCTCCATTCCTTGATGATGACATATCCATATGATCCTACATTTTATGGAATGTGAGAGTTATAATACATTTTCAGAACATATATATATATATATATATATTGCATTATTATGCTTGTCTATGCTTTATTTGTGACTTGTGTTGGACTGTGGACTTGATTTGTGACTATGCTTTATTTATTTCAAAATACATGTGTTGGACTTGATTTTTTATTTTATTTTATTTATGGGAATGGTTGGTTGTACTTAATGTCAATTTTTTTTTAAATTTTTTTTTAAAATTTATAAATACTTAATGTGAATGTGCATGGTGGTAACATTCATGTGTTGTGCTTGGTTGTGGAGCTCTGTGTTGTGCTTCTTTACTTTTAGTTTTGTGTTGTGCTTGGTTATGAAGATGAATCAATTGCCTTGGGTATATATAGCTGAGTTCAAGAACCCTGAGGGCATTATTGGGATTATCTTTGATGATATCAGCAGGTTCTGTTCCCTGTGCTAACAGAAGTTACAAAATGAGGGAATCTTGATAATGTTAGTTAAAGTAAGGAAAATTTATGTAATTATTCAAACCACAGAGGAGATTCCTGTATTTGTCAGAAATCTCAGGGGAGGTGAGTGTAATTTACCTAATATGTTTTAAAAAATTATATATTTTTATTAAATTATTTTTTAATGTAAAATTTTATACTCCTAATATTTTTAATTTCTTAATATATATTATAATGACACAAATTAACATAATTCAATTTAAATTTAATAGATTGTAAGTTACATTGAAAATAAATATAGTCTGTTAGAGTATTTTCATAAAGCTCTTCAAAATCATCTTTTAGTTAAAAACTTCAAAAAATCAACTCCATCAAACTCACTTGCAGCTCGTCAAAATTTACGATGGCTACAGTAACTCGTTACAACAAGTGAGACACTGTTCATCGTTACTTGTGTGTTATCGGACGTCCAGCCGGTCAACCGGTCAAGGATAATTTTTTTTTTATTTTTTTTAAGAATTGTTTGGCTGGTAACTTATCAATTTAATAAAAAAAGAAAGATTAACAAACACAATAAGAAAATAATATTTAATTAGAATAAGTTAGAATAAAGAATTTGATGCAGTAGGTGCTACCAACCACACTCTCTACTTTTCACTAAGCAAAGTACGAAAAAAGTACACTATTTATTTTACCTAATTACTTTAGCTATTGTGCTCTCCAACCACACTCTTTATTTTAGCTAATTATTCAAACTAACTTAATTAATTTTTAAAACAAAAAATACTAATTGTTGATATTTTACTAATGTAAATTTGTAGTAATAATAAATTTGCCCATACAAGCATACAAAATCTGTAGAATGAGGAGAAAAAAAATACAAAATACAAAATAAGTTATTTCGTAATCCATCAAACAGAATTGAAAGAACATATAAAATTGCTACATACGCATATATAAATATAAAATGTATACAATCCCAAATCCAAGACATAAATATACAAAAATTCAAAACATATACATACATTAATTGTTGATATTTTACTAATGTAAATTTGTAGTAATAATAAATTTGCCCATACAAGCATACAAAATCTGTAGAATGAGGAGAAAAAAAATACAAAATACAAAATAAGTTATTTCGTAATTTATCAAACAGAATTGAAAGAACATATAAAATTACTACATACGCATATATAAATATAAAATGTATACAATCCCAAATCCAAGACATAAATATACAAAAATTCAAAACATATACATACATATTTGTTTGGAGAGTCTATAGGGCTTTTTAATTGTAACTAGCAAAAAGGTCGACTGGTAAAGTAGTTAGCCCAATAGTCAGCCTATTGGAGCCCAAAATTAGAGTTACATTAGTTAAAATGCTTAACAAGCCTTTTTTAACTGTTCCTTTTGAAGATGTTCTAAAAAGTGACTAGTTAAAATAATAAAATAACTTTAATTTAATTAAAAATTTGAAAATTTGAAAATTTCAGTGCGGATGCTCTTAATTTATTTTTTCACCAATTTTATAGATAATTTATCTAGGCAATGTTATTGTATTGAAATTCTTTTCGGTGTGTTTGGTTTGAGTTTTCTGGATTAAATTTTTTGAAAATTGAGTTATTTAGTTTTCGTATTCTTTTATTTTTAGTGAATATTTTTTAAATTTTAAACATTTTTTTTTTACTTTTTTAGATGCACCTTAGTTAGATGTATCTAAAAAGTAAAAAAATTGTGAAAAAATATTTTAAAAAATTAATAAATACATAAAAATACAAAAAAAAAATGTATTGAATTCTTTAACATAATCTCTTACAATATAAGTATATATAAACAATTAAAAAATATTACACCAAATAATCCAAATTATAATAAATTGTGAAAGTTAAATCGTGTAATTTAGTCCATGTACGATTTATTCAGCTGTCATTTGAAAATAAACACAAAATTTTTATGATTTTTCTCACAATTATTTATTGGCTCCGTATAATTTTATACCTTAAAAAAAAAAAAAAAAAAATTATGTACAGGATTCCTCGGCCCTTTATGAGAAAGGCTAGTCTCTTTGCTCGGGGGTCTTTTTCCGTGGGTGCGTCGCTTCGTTTTCGTCTTCTTGTTCTTGTTTTTTGTTGTTGATTTGGTTGATTGATCATCATGGCCATGGTTTTATCTAAGCCCTTGAACCCGAAAGCCCAATCTTGGTATCCCAATCCCCTTTACCTTGCGCGCCATGTCTTTCAGAAACCACCGCCGGAGCTATTACCCCCGCCGGCACACTGGCTTCCACCACCATCGCACTACATGTATTTCAACTTCTTGCCGACCTACCATCACCCAATAAGTTGGTACAATCTACGGTCTCAGCCACAACCCTTTTCCGCGCAGCCACCACCGTCCTCTCCTCCCACCGCCACCGCCTCATGCGGTTTTGGGGAAACCGGGGGCAAATTCATGCGGGAAAAGAAGAGGCTTGACAGAGGGCGTCCTGGTTTGAGCTATAGAGGCAGGGTTTGTAGATATGGTACTAGTCGTCCTGTTTGGATGCCTAAAGAAAGCAAGTCAGGTAAGGATGTTGATGCTTGTGTCTATTCGTCTCCTCATCGTCGTCGTCCACCACCGCCACCACCACCACCACCATCTTCAGACGATGTTTCACTCTCTGGGAGGACGACCGTCATGATTAAGAACATACCTTACCAGTACAGGTTCGCTCTCTATCTCTGGTGTGTGTGTAGAGTGAGAGAGAGAGAGAGAGAGAGAGAGAGAGAGGGAGAGGGAGAGGGAGAGGAGAATCTTTATCGGTTGATATTGGGAATGGTTTTTGGTACCCTTTTTACGAATTTGTAATTCGAGTAGTATTTTACAAAATATTTCACATTCATTTGAGAATTGGAAAGTGCCTCTGGACTGTTTTCGTTTGCGATATTTGTTCGATGGGAGCTATGTTGCTCCCATTTTTTTAAACTTAGGGCTTCAATTTCATTTGTTCCGACTCCACAACATTTACTCCCACTCCATTTTGTGTTGATTAGGGTTCTTTGACACGCTCTCTCTCTCTCTCTCACTGTTTATGTGTTAGGATGGTCCTAAAAATCCGAGTCTATCTCTGACCATAGTTGTGGAAAAAGATTGAAAGTGGAAGTTTATGTTCTGTTCGCCCTCTCTCTCCTTTCTGTCCCTATCTCTGGTAAGCGGATATCTGTCAAAAAAGTTGAAATCTAAAGTCTTATCTCCCCCACAAACATGCTTTTACACCATCCATTCATTCGTGCATGCTAGTATGTTTCATAACTACTATCTACTACCATCATTTATGAGTGACAAAGTAGTCAACATACACAGAAATACTCTTTAGGTTATCATTTTTTTGGCATACATATTCATTGATAAAATGACATTAGTGGTATTGTTTCCTCATTGGAACCTTGTGAACATCATTTGCAGAAGGAATATGTTGCTGGCTTTCCTTGACAATCTTTGCCAGGAGCAGAACGACAAGGCCAAGTCGGAGTCTGAGTCTGAGTCGGTTCGCTTTGAGTATGATTTTGTGTACCTGCCAATGGATTTCTGGTATATCTAATCTTCTTTTTCACCACTAAACATACGGATTGATGTTATGTATGTTAAAATGCATGTTATTACAAGCCTGAGAAATTTAAAACCAAGTTTAAAAATTGAGGTGGGTTTTGAAATATGGGCAGGAGGGGAGACAATTTGGGATATGCATTTGTGAACTTCACAACTGCCATGGCTGCAACAAAAGTTCAAGGGTTGCTCCAAAACCATAAGTGGGCTATCTTTGAAGATAGCTTCGGCGTTGTTCGACAATCTAATAAAATCTGTGAAATCAGTTGGGCCCGAATTCAAGTAAATCTTACAATATTCTGCTCAACATTCTTAGTACATATGTTTATGCACATGTATGTTTATTGTGGTTATTATTGGAAATCCTTCACTGGACCAGGATCTGGTGAAACATTTTAGAAACTCGAATTTCGTTTGCTCAAACTTGGAGTATTTGCCGGTAGTTCTATCGCCGCCTCGTGATGGTACGGCCTCCTTGACTTCGCCGACTACCATTGGGAGATGTTTGGAAACAGTCAATAGAAGGCCCTTGAAGAACTGAACCACCCCGTCGCCTCTTCGTCTCTCTCTCTCTCTCTCTCCCTATGTATGGGGATGTGTGTCTGAGATGGGGTTGTTGGTTGGATGTTGTACATGATATGATTAGTAGTAGTATAATAATTGGATGAATGTAGTGTAGGGTAGGTTAAAATAGTAGGTGTATGGAGGAGGAGGCTAATATGCGCTCATGTGGAGTATATTGATGATGATGATGTGATGACCCGTGTTTTCATTCTCTCCCCGGGTGGGTATGGCGCATAGGCATGGTGGTGATGGTGGTGTTGTCAAAATCTCTGGGGTGAAGTGGAAACATGGGTTTAATGGTTAGGTTTAGGGTTTGAGTTTTTCAGTCTCTGAACAATCTACTGTATCGTTTTTGGAAATTATTTCAGGAAGTAATTTTTGGTGTACCAATGTTTCTGACTAATTTGAGTTTTGTTAATTTAGGGTTTGAATTGCTTTGATATTCTGCATTATTATTATTATTTTTGTACATTGATCACACAAGTTTAATCGCTCATTAAGCTTTTGCACTAGTTTTTATTGTAAATTTTTTTTTTTTGGGTTTCTTTTTTATTCAAAATTAAGGCAAGTTTGAGAAGATTCAAAAAAGTCAAAAAGTTAAAAAGTTACTTAAAAAGTTAAAAAGTTAACACTTTTCACCAAAATTCAACAATTACGGCTGCACAACTCTCAATTCAAATTTTTCTCTACAAATTAATTTTTACAATTTTTTATTATGTATTTTTCAATAAAAAGTCAAAAAGTTAACCTAAATATTCATATTTTCAACCTCAATTTTTTAGTCTAAAAAGACAAAAAGTGCACTTTTTTAGTCTTTCCTCGTCTCTCTCTCTCTCTCTCTCCCTATGTATGGGGATGTGTGTCTGAGATGGGGTTGTTGGTTGGATGTTGTACATGATATGATTAGTAGTAGTATAATAATTGGATGAATGTAGTGTAGGGTAGGTTAAAATAGTAGGTGTATGGAGGAGGAGGCTAATATGCGCTCATGTGGAGTATATTGATGATGATGATGTGATGACCCGTGTTTTCATTCTCTCCCCGGGTGGGTATGGCGCATAGGCATGGTGGTGATGGTGGTGTTGTCAAAATCTCTGGGGTGAAGTGGAAACATGGGTTTAATGGTTAGGTTTAGGGTTTGAGTTTTTCAGTCTCTGAACCATCTACTGTATCGTTTTTGGAAATTATTTCAGGAAGTAATTTTTGGTGTACCAATGTTTCTGACTAATTTGTGTTTGTTAATTTAGGGTTTGAATTGCTTTGATATTCTGCATTATTATTATTATTTTTGTTCATTGATCACACAAGTTTAATCGCTCATTAAGCTTTGCACTAGTTTTTATTGTAAATTTTTTTTTTTTTGGGTTTCTTTTTTATTCAAAATTAAATAACTAGTGTACAGATTAATTTATTTTTTTCAAACTATTGTGATTATCAATTTTATTAAAAAAAATGTTATTACTAATAATATATTATTTTTTACTTAAGTGTAAAGATTTGGAGAAAATTTGTAGTTTAATGTGATGTTAAATAAAAAAACGTTTATTTTATTTTATTTTATATATTTTTTGAGGAAGAATAAATAGTTTGGAAAATAAATTTATTTGTACACTTAATTTAATTTCACAATAAGAAAAAAACACATGCAACTCAACTACTAATTTTTTCCATCTTTTCTTAATAATGTATTAAAAAGAAGTCGAACTCAAAAATTTGTTTCATGGTCTAGGCTTCTGTTTGTTGGAATTGGAAATATTATAGAATTGGGAATATTATTTTAAGAACATGTTTTGTTTGTTTGAATTGGAAATATTATACTGGTTCAAAAAAAAGAATTGAAAATATTATAGAAATGGAAATGTTATTTTAAGAAAGAATTGAAAATATTATAGAATTGGAAATGTTATTTTAAGAAAATGTTTAGTGCGGTAGAATAGGCTGAAATGGAATATGTCCATTTTAGTTTTGCATTAATTTTTTCTGGTTTGGTATGAATTAGGAGTGAAATTTGGGGGGATTCAAACAAATTTAGAGGTTGTCTAAACTTAGTATGTGTTGAGAGTTACCCAGACTCGCTTAAGTTCAAATTATAATTCAAAATTGGTTAGTAATTATGGTTTAAAATAGTTTGGAAAATAAACTTCTTTGTATATTTTATTTAATTTCACGATAAGTAAAAAAAACACATGCAACTCAACTACTAAGGTCAAGTTTGGCATACACAAAATAATCTATCTTTTTATCTTTTTTTCATCACATCACCTCTCTATTTTTCTGCACATTTTTTCATAAAAAGACAAAAAATACACTTATTTAAGTCATCCCAAATAATCCTTAATTTTTTCCCCTCTTTTCTTAATAATATATTAAAAAGAAGTCGAACTCAAAAATTTGTTTCATGGTCTAGGCTTCTGTTTGTTTGAATTGGAAATATTATAGAATTGGGAATATTATTTTAAGAACATGTTTTGCTTGTTTGAATTGGAAATATTATAGAATTGGAAATATTATTTTAAGAAAATGTTTAGTAAAATAGAATAGGCTGAAATGGAATATGTCCATTTTAGTTTTGCATTAATTTTTTTTTTGTTTGGTATGAATTAGGAGTGAAATTTGGACGGATTTGGACAAATTAAGAGGTTGTCTAAACTTAGTACAAGTTGTGCCGAGAGTTATTTAGACTCGCTTAAGTTCAAATTGTAATTCGAAATTAGTTAGCAATTATGGTTTAAAATAGTTTGGAAAATAAATTTATTTGTATACTTTATTTAATTTCACAATAAGAAAAAACACATGCAACTCAACTACTAATTTTTTTCCATCTTTTCTTAATAATGTATTAAAAAGAAGTAGAACTCAAAATTTGTTTCATGGTCTAGGCTTCTGTTTGTTTGAATTGGAAATATCATTCTAAGAGCATTTGTTTGAATTGGAAATATTATTTTGAGAACATGTTTAGTACGATAAAATAGGCTGAAATGGAATATGTTCATTTTAGTTTTGCATTAATTTTTTCTTGTTTGGTACGAATTAGGAGTGAAATTTGGGCGAGTTGAGAGGCTGTCTAAACTTAGTACAAGTTGTGCTGAGAGTTATTCAAACTCGCTTAAGTTTAAATTATAATCCGAAATTGTCTATTCAAGTCCGACTAGTTAAATCTAAATTGCTTGAGTTTTTCAAATTGTACATGAATTTCAATTGTTTTTTCTTGTTGTAGTGCAACTAAGTTAATTAATTTTTTAAATTAAACTCAATTTATATACCTTTTTTATGAAATTATTAATAACATTAAAGGAAATAATTTATATATAATGTAAGAGAGATGTCATTGTGATGGTCTTTACAATTTATGACTGAGAAAAAAAAATTAAAATTCTGTGTTATATTAGTTGTATATATAATATATATTCACTATGATCTAATGATTTAAATTACTTTAATATCATCCAACATCTAATAATTTATATATATATATATATATAATTTAGGCTTCAGGTTGTTGGTTTGTTTGATGTCTTTGTTCATGCCCTCCCACAGTTTTGATTTGGCGTTTCGAATTTTTGTCCAATTCCATTCACAGTTTTAATTTGGCCTTTCGAATTTTTGTCCAATCCCATTCCGAATTTAAAAATATTTTATTAAAGTCCTAAAAAAATTCAGGAGGGGCTCGGGTTACTCGGGTTGAACCAATCCAAGTTGAATCCCCTTGTACGCCTTTCTCAATGGAAATAGTCATTCTATTGGAATGGCTATTCTAATAAAATATGAGAATGCCTATTTTTTTTCTTGCACTGAAGGAATTGTTATTCCATTTTATTATGGAATCACCATAATATATATATATATTTTCGTACTTAAAACAAATATTATCATTTAGCTACCAGTGGCGGAATCAAAAAAATAATTAAGAAGGAGCACTTGTTAATTAAAATTTCAATTTATTTTTTGTCATAATTAATAACAATAGATAATAATTTTTTAAATTAATATTAAGCATAAAATTTTAAATATTTAAATAAAAGTTTTAAAATTTTTGCTTCTACAATTGACTTTGTGAAAAATCCAAGTTGGAAATATGGTGTTGTAACTAGTATATTATAAACAATGCAAAAGAGTTTTGTATGCCTAATAATAGATTATATAATAATATATAAATAATAATGATACCACATCAATCATCGATATATAACATCACTAACAAATAGTAAAATAACGCATGGAAGGTTAGTCCCACTTGTCAAATACAATTAACAATTTAATAATTTCACATTTTCATAGTGGGGTTAACTATGTTTACATGTAAGTGATGATTTAGTATCACTATTGCACTAATTTTTTTTTTTTTTGTTTAATAAAATTTTTTTAATAAAATTTTCGCACATAATAATATGGCTTATTGTAGTTTCTAAGTTTTCTATCAAAAACAATTTCATTTTCTATGAAAACCAACTGTCTTTATTTTCGTAATTTGAAAAATATTTTTAAGAAATCATTCTAAATATTATTTTTATATAAATTTTCTATTTGTTATTTAGTTTCCTCATAAGCAAAAAAAATAAAAAATAAAAAATTCAAAAAGGAGGGGGGCACGTGCCCCTGGTTCCCTTTATAGCTCCGTCATTGACTACTACTACCATTCTCTTCTATTATCACCATTTCCACCATCGTATTGCCCGTCACACTCCCCTTTTTAATTACTCGGATTCCATTACCAAATCCTTATTATAAATAATTTTAGAGATAGCAGACAGAAGTCCAATACCTTGGCAAATACAGGCAAATAAAGATTCTCTTAATCGTATACTAAATAATGCAACATGTGACATGATTACAATAAATTGCCTGCAATCATACATCATTACATAAAAGAGAAAGGGTTCAACCCTTTTTGCAACAACGACATTTAGCCAGAAATTAAAAGGCCCCGTGGCCAACAAAAAAAAGAAGATCCTCGATTTTGAACCACTTCTCGATATTCACCTGAAAAAGGATTAACAACGTGGGATGAATATAAAGTTCAGTAGGGATCCCAATATGATCCTAAACAATAACAACATACAGATAGCTATAATCATGAATGCTTTAAGTCATACCATATACATAAGTGCCGGTTTATACATAAAGATTACTTACATAGGTACTTTTCTCAAAATCATTCAATTTATCCAACAATCACAAACCGCTCACTTTTCTTTCTTCTTATTACCTCTTTATTTTACACTTTCCAAACAATAATAGGTATTTGAATACAAACCCACGAGTTCCATTTACTTTTCCCAATTACTGAATTCACACCCAATTCCAAATTACAATTTCCGAATAGAAG